CAAAGAGCAGCGAAATTTTAAACTTAAGTTCAAATATATAAATAATGATATACCATTATTGCAGTAAATAAGGCTGCTACTTTTATTTGAAATTATCCCAAATTGAATGTGGTTTATGGGCAACAACTTAACGTACGCTCGCTCTTCTGTGTGCTATTCAATTCACAAAGTATTTGCCGACCGAGCGACCCTTACAAATGTGTACGTGCGTACTAAAGTAGTAAGCGTTAGATATTTAAAAGAGGGACTCTTTATGATGAACTCTTATGTGTATCCAGAAGCGGCCCCATAGGAAGTGGACCTAATCGAGCCCCGACGGTTCGACAAAAAATGAGATTGACTTCATTATGACGACCAGACGACAACTGTTCAGTGATGTCTCAGTGATCGCGAGGGTGAAAACCGGCAGCGATCACCGAATGGTTAGAGGCACACTGAACCTAAACGTTAAGTTGGAGAGGTCTCCTCTAATGAAGTCAACGCTCCGTCCCCCTCGTGCTCTAATCCAAAGTCCCGAAACCTTTCAGGAGTTACAAAACCGTTTTCAGTGCCTAGAAGACTGCAATGAAGTGGACGATTTGAATGACAAGCTCGTGGAAACTGTCCATGCGGTCGGAGTTAAGTTCTGCAAGACCCACCGCAGAAGAACACAAAAACTCTCCGATCACACTCTTAATCTCATGGCTGTTAGACGGGAGATGAAGCTACATTCTTCAACAGATTTAACAGCATACAGGCAACTGAACAGACAGATCTCCAAATGCATGCGGCGGGACTTACGCAACTTCAATACAGCTCGTATTGAAGAAGCGATCGAGCGGAACCAAGGCTCCAAAGTCTTTGCCAGAGATCTGTCTGCCAGAAAGTGCCAAATGTCAAAGCTGAAGACAGAATGTGGCAGCATCGTTTCCGGGGCACCTGAGATTTTGAGTGAGATTGAGAGGTTCTATGGGCAGCTGTACACGTCATCGTTGGAGCCGCACGCAAGTGTGAGTAACGATCCAAGAGCGAGTCTTATCCGACATTATTCCGATGATATCCCGGACGTCAGTCTGAGCGAGATTAGAATGGCTCTCCAGCACCTTAAAAACGGCAAGGCCCCAGGCGAGGATGGAATTACAGCGGAGCTTCTGAAAGCGGGTGGAAAACCGGTACTTGAAGTCCTTCAGAAACTCTTTAATTCCATCCTCCATGGTGGCATTACACCGGAGGCGTGGAGCAGAAGTGCGGTGGTCTTGTTCTTCAAGAAAGGCGACAACGCTCTCTTGAAGAACTACAGACCGATTTCCCTTCTGAGCCGCGTCTACGTGCTGTTTTCGAGAGTCATTACGAATCGTCTCGCGCGCAGACTTGACGACTTCCAGCCTCCCGAACAAGCCGGTTTCCGAAAAGGCTTTAGCACCATAGACCACATACATACCCTTCGGCAAATTGTACAGAAGTCCGAGGAGTACAATTTGCCACTATGTCTGGCGTATGTGGACTATGAGAAAGCCTTTGATTCTGTCGAAATTTGGGCGGTGTTGCAGTCCCTTCAGCATTGCCAAGTTGACTGTCGGTATATCGAAGTGTTGAAATGCTTGTACAGTAGGGTTACGATGGCTATCCGAGTACAGAACCAGAGTACGAAACCTATCCAATTGCAGAGAGGTGTAAGACAGGGTGACGTCATATCCCCGAAACTCTTTACCGCTGCATTGGAAGATGTTTTCAAGCTTCTGGACTGGAAAGGATACGGTATCAACATCAATGGCGAGTACATCACTCACCTTCGATTTGCCGACGATATAGTCCTTATGGCAGAATCGCTGGAGGACCTAAGCACTATGCTCAATGACCTCAATAGTGTTTCCCAACGGATAGGTCTTAAGATGAACATGGACAAAACAAAGATCATGTTTAATGTCCATGTCACACCTATGCCGGTAGTTGTTGGGAACACTAAGTTCGAAGTTGTTGACGAGTATGTTTAACTGGGACAAATAGTCCGACTAGGTAAGTCCAACTTCGACCGAGAGGTCAATCGACGGATTCAACACGGTTGGGCAGCGTACGGGAAATTACGGCACATCTTCTCGTCAAGTATACCTCAAAACTTGAAAACGAGACTGTACACCCAGAGCGTGTTGCCAGTGATGACATACGGAACTGAGACGTGGTCCTTCACTGCTGGCCGGATGAGGAAGCTCAAGGTCGCTCAGCGAGCTATGGAGAGGGCTATGCTTGGAATTTCTCTGCGTGAATAACTCAGAAATGAGGATATCCGCAGTAGAACTAGAGTGACCGACATAGCACAACGGATTAGTAAGCTGAAGTGGCAATGGGCCGGCCATATAGCTCGAAGAACCGACAACCGATGGGGAAGAAAGGTTCTCGAGTGGCAGCCTCGTACCGGCAGGCGAAGTGTAGGGCGTCCCCCCACTAGATGGAGTGACGACCTGGTAAGATATGCAGGAAGTCGATGGATGCAGGTGGCTCAGGACCGTGCCTTGTGGCATTCTTTGGGGGAGGCCTATGTTCAGCAGTGGACTGAAGGGCTGTAATGATGATGATGATGATTTATTAATGACAATCAGTTATAAGAATGTATTGCCACGAATTTTGAATTTAACATATAAAAAGGGCTGAATGTTTGAGATTTTTTTTAATTATTTTTTCACACCATTTGCTTTATTATTTATTATGAACCTTCTCTGCAAATTTGGCTGGTTATTGTAAAATAACCCTGTATATTAATATACTAATAACCTGCCCCAGCATCACCAGGGTGGTGTCGATTTATGTCTTCTTCTATAATATTTTTTATGATAATAATGAACGATCATGTAAAAATCTCTAAGTTTTTCGGATAAAATGTGACTCATTTAGATTGCTCTCTATCTGTTTGTTATGTTGCATCATAATCGGATTATTTATTCCTAACATCAGCTCAGACTGACAGACCATCAGATAGACAGACAAAAATTTTAAGAATAATTAATCACCTAAGCTGAATTTACTGAGGCAGTTATTTGCGATATTATAGACGGGTATTTCAATTAAATTTATATTTTATTAATTAATATAATTAATAAAATCAGGCGTTATTTAGCGGAATTCCATTACATTAATGTTGGTTAAAAATTACTTCGAGTACATCCGCTCGATAAAATAAAATGATGCGTCTTACGTAGGAATCTCTAGCTAAGACGCATCATATGAATTAATCATTTAATGAACCTCAGTTATAACCTTTTTCTTAATAAACCATGACAAACCATACCATGTTTAGTGAAAACACATTTTCCATAGTTCAAACCAGTTTTTACTGAATGGTTCTCTTACAACTAGAATCTTTTTTGTACAAAAATACTAGCAATCTTATTGACATTACTAATATTCCATTTAACCACTCCTGGTAAGCTGAAAATGCTTGTATTAGGGGTCGTTCACGACAGTAGTGGAATGGTAGATTCGAACCCACGATTTTTGAGTTCGCGGTCCGCATTCTGCCATTAGGCTACTGTCGCTTCTCTCTCTCTCTCATATTTTGTGCTAAATTTAAATTTTTGTAGAGTAAACTAGTTTGTAGGTGCGGCCAATGCTGCCAACATTAAATCATGACATACCCTCCTGCCTTGTTGGTCTAGTGGTTGGAAGCGCGGTTGCTGGTCATGTGGTCTCGGTCTGAAATCCAGGGTCAGAACAAAATCAGTTATTGGATTTTTTTATCAAGAAATTCTCAGTAGCAGAATCAGGTCATTAGCGGTATTTCATTCCCGTGCTTCGGAAAACACGTAAATCCGTTATTACTGCGCCTTTCTCTCTCCAAATCTTTCTCTCCAGTAGTTTCTGATTGCAATTTTCAACGTTAAAGATATTACAAATTAATTGGCCAAGTTCCTTCAAGTTTTATTATTTTTATTATAGTTGTCGGAGCATCTATAAAATACCCGGTTGGATCGAGGTAGAAGGGAGGGTATATCGAGAAACCCCCTCTTGTGTCTGTAGTATAAAGTTCACTGTAGGTGCCGTGCGCGGGAGATTCCGCCTAAGTCATTCAACGAGTGTGGTCATTCTAATAGTGCTAAGATAGTGTCGTGGTTCTGTTCGTTGTTGTAATTCTTCTAGTGCAGGCAAAGAGGATTGGTGTTGCTGAGAGGCTGCCCTGTGTTACATTGAGATAGTAGTGTTGATGTTGGTTTACATATTTTGGTGCTATCATGTAATTACGTACTTCACGTTCCCCTTGTGTGTGATTGTGGCGGAGACGTGTTACGGTGTGGTCGAACTGTAATTTCACTATACTGAATGTATAGTGCGTTACGTTGTCTTATTACTGATAATGATTAAACTTCGTAAGCAAGAGAGCAAGTTGAACATCCGCTCTCACACTTTTATTATTTTTAACAATTAACGCTATCCTGATGTATTTCCGAGATCAAAATTGGGATCCTCTATTCTAATCTCCGACATCAGAAGTGGGATCTCCTGTTGTTATTTTTGATATAGTTTTATTATTATATACTGGGAAGAGCACCTCACGCCTTCTCTCAATTGCTTGCACTATCGCCGTCACCACTAATCTCAGCACGTCACTACTAATCCGTGACGGCTCCGTGGCGTAGTAGCTTAGCAATGAGTTGCTGCGAGTTCAAATGCCGCACGGAACAAGTATTTGTATGGCCTACAAATAATTGTTCCGGGTCTGGATGTTTGTCCTTGTGCAATTTGTACCTGCCTCCACGATACAGGAGAAAGTCCTAGTGTAACTGTCCTAGTGTAAGTGTCCTAGTGGTAACGTTTTAAAAAAAGAAAGAAAAAATCCTAGCAGCAGTTTTAAAATCTCTGATAAAATGAATTTCTGCAAAGTAACGCCTGATACTATTAATTATAATTGTCAACGATTCCTCCTCAACGAATGATAATCGATATTTTTATTATTCACGTGATTATTACGCGGGAAGGACTTTTTATGCTAACATTATTTACGTAAAACTACACGGTTTAGGTATGGTTTACTAGCATATAAAAAAACCTTGGTTACTAAAAGGGCGTCGTTGGTCTTCAGATTTACTATGCCGCCAATTTATACCTCTTGATGTATCTTCAGTTACATCGCGTTTCATAAAAACAGACACTTGTGAATCTGAAATATAAAACGTATACATATACCTATTTCAATTTTGAATCATTATATTAAACCAGCTGGTACCCGGCGCGTAGCTGTTGCAGAAAAAATAATTGTAGATATATCGTTTTAAATTTGGAACATTATAATTGTTTAATTAGGAATGTTACATAATACATTCATTGAAATTAAATGATATATAACTTTCAAATCAATTTGACGTTGCAATATGCGCGCCACCTAATGTAAGTTAAAATTACTATGCCTATAAACCTCGCGCAAGTGAAAGCAATAAGTTGTCAAAGTTTTACCGCAATCTAATGAACGGTATAGTGGCGCATAAAATACGAACAAACATAAATTAATTTTATATATTAGATTACTAGCGATTCGCCCCGACTTTGTGTAGGTTATTTTGGGATCTCGGCAACGCCACCTATCGGGTTCAACTATAATTAAAAACCATCCAGGTGACCCCGTAAAAATTTCATTAAAATAGGTCAAGCCTTTTAGTAGGAGAAGAATTACATATACATGCACACCGGTATTTCATATGTAAAGGTTTCCACATTAGTTACATGTGTAGAATAAACAGTCACTGTTTATGTAAAATCTTTTCAAGCGATAAATTCAAACTGTCAACTAGTTAAAATCATATTTTTTTGTCTTATGTTATTAGTTTATAACAAAACTCACTTCTTAAGGTTATGAACTCAGATATAGAATAGTTATAACCAAGTGCTATTCCAGCCATTGAAACGACAAAGAACAAGCAACAAATAGCTCCGGCTATACAACATGACATTAGAAACGTCCATATCCTGAAACAGTAAGTTCGATTCAAATCGTTTAGAATGAATAATGGTGATGTTAATATTCAAAAATCTTAGATAGTTATCATTAAATACGTAAGCAAGCGGCTGGTAAAGTATAAAATGAATATTAGTGTTCTTCATAATATACTTATTTGCCATTTTAGGCAACCCTATTTAGTTCTAAAATGCTACATTTTTAATGGGAGTAATGTTTCTATGGAAATAGACTGTAAAATTCGGTGGAAGAACTAGTTAGATTTTACAAAAATATCGAAAGTATTACGAGTAAGTTGGTTCAATACAAATTGAACGTAGGTATACAATTCAGAGTTACCGTTACAGCTAATAAAAGTCCACTGCTGAACAAAGGCCTTATTTTGCCATAGTTGCCACGCTTGGTTTGCGGGTTGGCAACCACCGTTTTTTAGTTTTTTGAGTTGTTATCAGGAATATGCTGCCGCCCATCTGTTTCAGTTTCCTCCAGTCACCTCTTACGACACCCATGGGACGATATGGGGCAGTGGATATTCTAACACCGCCACTACACGGGGTTCAATTCAGAGTAGCTTAACACTGCTGTATTTCGTATGGCGAGTGTAGAGAACCGGAGACCCTTTTTACTGGAAAACAGACATTCCATCTTAGTCCTCACGGGTGACTATGCATCTGCATTTTGATTCTTTATTGATGATAGATGTAGACATCCATGGGTCACAGCAACCACTTACCATCAGGTGAACTGTGTGCTCGTTTGTCACCCTATCTTATAAAAAAAGAGTAAATAGATGATACTTTTAAGAAAATCTAAAAAAAAAATAATAGAAGTATAAATAGTCGAAAATCATCTTGCTGCTAAAATGGAAGCATTTAGGAAATTGCCCTATACTGAAGTGTTTTAATCGCTTTTATTTCCTTAATAATGTGATTGTCAGATTGCCAATCACATTATTAAGGAAATAAATGGGACAGCACTTTCCAGCGTTTTTTGAGAATGTTTATTAACTTCGTGAAGAATTAGGTCACTTCATTGTTGTACATTACTTCCTTGGATAGAAAGGCACTTTAAGAGAAACAAAAGGGCCTTCTTATCGCTAATAAAATAAATTTAATGAATTACTTTGCTTCACGGTTGTTTTGTGAAATGGTTATTTTAGAAAAGTATAAATTGTAATTAAAGTGTGCTAGCGTATAATTTACCTGTAATAGTAATTTAATACAAACTGGAATAGGTTTTAAGACAAACAGAAAACTTCAATCTCTAATTGTCACGACTTGCCGTCATAATAAGATTAACTATTAAATCAATTATTTTAGGAAAACTCATAATGTATATCAATTTAAATTAAATTATGTAATATTTATAAATTTTTAATTAATTATATAAAACCTTGGTAGCTAACGGGCTAAGCACACGTTATAAATTTAACAGTAGCGCAGAGGACTAATTGCTCTTTAATCCTCTTAAACATGAGAGGAGGTATGTGCCCGGTCGTGGGACATACTGTAACGTTACTACACTAGCAATACTAGGAACAAACAAACTAGTGATACCGGTCTACTCCACAGAGTCAGTAATTCATTCTTGGGGCAATGTATACGCTATTACAACAAGGTCCCGGAAAGTGTACAGGCTCTCTCTATTACCAAGTTTAAATATTTAATTAAACAAAGGCTGGATAAAAAGGGTCATTATAATATAAATGAATACATGGTTGATAATAACCTCTGGGAATGAGGTGGTCGCTTCCAAGCTACTCGTATTTCTAAAATAAATTTTGTAAATAGTTTGTAATCATTTGTCTAGTAAATTTTTTTTTTAAAAAGTCCCGCTGGGTATCTTGCTGGTTCTTCCCAGGACAGAGGACTTTTTTTTGAACACGTGGTAAAATAAAAAAAGACTTTCAATAAGAATTACTTGTAATCAATACTGAATAAAAAAATTATTCTATTCTATTCTATTTTCTTTAATTAAATAATTTTACTTCGAATCTTTGCACATTTTACGTACTTGAAGTTAGTGCACAGTGTAAAGCTAATATAATTATATAAGTACAGCCATTTAGCGAGGAGACGCAGCCAGCGTTGTTGGCACTACACAGCGGCGAGTAGGACTCTAGGATTTTTTTTTATTATAGTAATAAATATTGTATTTAATTGAATGTTTAAAAGCTAATGTCAATCTAACAAAGTCTTTTAATTTTATTGTGCGTACATATTACTTCAAACTTAATATTCAGAAGTTTTCTTCCTCGCACAACTTCCTTGTGGAATCGATTACCACCAGTGATTTTTCCGGACCAATACGACTTAGGGACCTTCAAGAAAAGGGCCTACTCCTTTTTAAAAGGCTGGCAGCGCATCTGCGATTCCCCTGGTGTTGCAGTTGTTCATGGGCGGCGGTAGTCACTTACCATCAGGTGAGCCGCATGCTCGTTTGCCCCCTCTCCTATAAAAAAAAATATTGTTTTACACCAAAACTCACCTCTGAATAAGATCGACAGTAAAAGAAAAATATTTAAATATGCAACACATTTTCTATACTCTTATCTTGCTCTTATCTGATAAACTGAACTTTAATTAAAAAAAAACTTTCTTCTTAAGCTTGTGGAAAGTGCAGCATTTCGTACAATTACGTTCGCACATTAACCGTCAGGTAATTTAAACAACTATTTACTAATATTATTACTTAACGCTTGTTATACATTACTAATAATTTATTTATACAATAATTTACACTAAGATAACAATAAATTTAGTTCACATTTAGTGATCGAAAATCTGTCAACACAGACAATGTGAAAATTGTGACACCTAATAAAGTTGTCGTCATCTGTCAGCTGCCTTGGGTAAATATACAATCTCTTTGAATGAAATGATAATACCTTTGTAATATCCCTAATAAAACGTTCAGGATAAGACTTCATGACTACACTAGAGTCCGAGTTTGCACTGTTACGACACCGAATTGCTAATGTTACTAATATTATTTTGATTAATTTACTGTTCCTGACACTATTAAAGACATTTCGTTTCAAGTTTTTACTATATACAAATAAGAGCTACAATCAAGCATACAGTCCAATTGATGGTAAGTTGATACTGTAGTTCAAAGAAAATGTAGGTGACATCTTGTCTTCATCTTCAGCATATGGATATCCGGAGTTGTGTATCGCCAGCAATGCAAAGTCAGAAATTTGCATTTACAAAAACCCAAAATTAGCGGCTTTTTAGGTGCTAATTAGGTGCCAAGTTTAAAAATTAGGTGCTCTAAAATTTTCACCGCAACGAACTGTTGAAATTGGCGTTACAAACAAAACGTCTCGCTAGCAACGCAGTGAAGTAATTAGATATACGATAAATATTAACAGCAATTGCTAATTAGGTGCTGCAAGTATAGGCAATAACAAGGCGCCCCTAATAATAATAAAGTCGTTATTCAGAACAAAGCAGATGCAAAATTCAGTTTATCTGAAAATCAGAATTGAATCAAAATTGTCTTTAGAAAACGCCCAAATTAGGGGCTTTTTAGGTGCTAATCCGACCGAATAATGAGACACAGCTGATATCCGGTTCTCAACATTTACCATTGAGAGCATAACACTGAGCTACATTTGGTACAGGGATTCTTTGAGAGCGTGGTCCTTGCAATGGTCCATTTATGTTACTGCCATAAAACGGCTGCAGTGTTACTTGCTGTAACAATTAATTAATTGGATTGTAAAGCACCGTTGCTACATGTTTTCATAGGCTGCTCATGTTCGTATACCAAAAACCAAATTTATCAAAATTACTTTTTTGATTTACCAAGATCCAATATTATTTTACGTGGTAGAGCCATGCTGCAGCTATATTACTGGTATAGTTGTAGCACGAATGGGTCGGCTCGACCGGGGAAGGATCACGCTCTCACAGGATACCAGCGCAAAATAGCAGCGTAACGCTGCTATGTTTCGTACGGTGAGTGTAGAGACACGTTTTTCTGGAAACGAGGCATTCCATCTTAGTCCTCACGAATGACATCGCAACTGTATTTCAATTCGTCATCGAGGATAGATATATATGTCTATGGGTCACAGCAATCACTTCCCATCAGGTGACTGTGTGTTCGTTTGTCACCCTTATCCTACGCAAAAAAAACTATTGAAGATTGGTGCACGTTATTCAAAAGACAGTTTACATAATTTTATAACGTCAAACAGCAAAACATTTCGCATCGAATACCTTCTGAAACAGTGTAACAAACTTCGGTTAAACAAATTAGTTGCGGAACTTGGTCGTTCAGTTAATCGTGATACTACAAGTTTAATAGCCTTGCAGAACGACCCAATGATGTCAGTCTGTCTACATTAAATATATAATTTTGAAATGTTCATTGAGGGAATCTTTAATCCCAGATGGAAGTTCAATACTAGGTTACTAGGATGGAACTATTTTTAAGACTAATTATTTACTTCATGTTTGCAATTACATTTTTTCCGTAAATATGTAATGTGTAGTGGCAGTATAAAAATATGCACTATCCCATATCGACCCGTGGGTGTCGTAAAGGACGACAGAAGGAAACAAACCAAGAGATGGGCGCCAGTCTCTTTTTAATGACACATAAAAAATAAAAAAACTACGGTTGCCAACCCGCAACAGCCTGTCAAAAGTTCAGCAGGTGGACTTTTGACGGGCTGTACGGTTTTTCAAGTTCATCTAGGTAGGTGTCCTTCAAAGTTGGAGATCGCGGAGGAAGGTATGCCACGTGTTCTAGTGCGCCTTACCTGAGAAGAAGATGGGAGGAGTAGTCCATTCCGATGTGGGGCCGCCATGGGATGGCCGGCGTTAGTGGGGTCTCGGATACATGCGAAAGCGTTCCCGTGGTCCTGCTGTATGCGGCGAAGGTGAAACAAGGGAGGCTAACAAACTAGCACTCACTATACCTGATGATTAGCGGATGCTATAGTCCATAGACATCTATATCTATCCTGGATAAGAAATCAAAATGCACAATGTATTGTCATCCTTAAGGATTAAGAATGCCTCTTTTCCAGGAAAAAAATATTCTACACTCACACTATGAAACACAGCAGCATTAGGCTGCTATTTCACGCTGGTACTCTATGAAAGCTTGGTCCTTACCGGGACGAGCCGATCCATTCGTGCTACAACCATAATATAAGTTGCAACGTGGCCCTATCACAGATTATTACTTCTTTTGGATACTAGCGATACCTGGCGACGCGTTGCTGTCGCTCAATCTGGTTACACGAAAAAGAAAAGATATATTTCTTTTACGTCTAACAGATGGCGTTGTTTTTAAAAAACAAACGAATACTTACTGTTTATTTTTATAGATCCGTTATCATCAGTACATAAACACTCCACAGTTGTACGTGGGCCTCTCACGAAACATTTACTTTAATTGTTACGCGTTGCAGGCAGATAAACAATTAACAAAATATATCTGACTGTTGTTAGGGGGTTTTGGCGGAAACTTGACCAGCGGCAGATTGCTGCTCCTGTATTATTGTTTAAATAATGGTTTGAAGTGGAATTTAATATGTAAAAGTTGTGCAATTTTGTGTATTAAATGTCTGCGCATGTGAACTATTAGTGGAAACGGTGAAACAAGTGCTTTGATGGTGATGTGATTCTCAAGATAAGGTGTCTGTCTGCTTAGACGCCTTGAGATACCATCGCCAACTGTCAGCTGTCTGCTGGCTCAAGTTACCGTCAAAATCACCCAAGGGCTGCAGAATGTGATGCATCAACATATTTTGAAGCAGTGTACTATGAAGAATAATAAATATACATTGTAATTTCAGGCTCAGAAGGGTTAGAACCCAGAGCCGTAAAGCCATTGATAAAAAATTGACTGCTGTTATCTTTGGCGATCACATCACTAGATGTCTTGTACTTTCACTAGGTGGTAAGACTCATTTTGTGCCTAGGAGCCTGTCTGTGTAGGTACCTCCCCTTACCTAATTCAATCGCTAAAAAGCAGCGCACTGTTGTGTTCCGGTCTGAAGGGTGTAGAGTTCCAGTATAATTACTTTCTATTCAAAATTTGTCAATCAACATAACTTAAAATTCTGTTAAATGAAAACTGTACAAAAGGGTTAAAGATAAAATAACTAAGATGTAAATGTTGGCTTCCATGCTGGTTCTATTATAATTCATAAGAATAATTGAACAAAATTTTTCAAAATTGAAATTATATTTATTAAAAAAAAATTCGGCTAGGTATCTTGCTGGTTCTTTCCATGACAGAGGTAGTTTCCGCATTGGTGGTAAATAATAAATACCTAGTCAGGTCATAAATTCTGTCACATGTTTAATATAAAATAATTGAAACATGTTTATTCATTATGTAACCATTTATATACCGAAATGAAATTAACAAACATAGATTCTTATGACACTAAAGTTTATTCAAAATGACCTCCGTGATTTTGAATACAGGCCTTCAATCTGCGCGGCCAGTCGTCTATCGCAGCACGAACGAGGTCCATGTCAATATCGGCGACTGCCTTAATCAAGGATGTCTTGTGTGACTCCAAATTGGGATGAGGCTTTGAGCACGCCTTTTCCTCCAAGTGTTGCCATATCTTGTAATCTAACGGATTCAAATCTGGACTGGAGGAGGGCCAGTCTTCGTGCCGGATGAAGTCGATTTCACGCGCCGCCAGCCAGTCTTGTGTGCTCTTCGCTCTATGAGCTGGCGCCGAATCTTGTTGGAATACCCAGTGCCTGTTATTGAACATGGTATGAGAAACAAGTTCCACAAGGTTCGTCAGGACTGTATTTTGATACACAACTGCATTCGTTTTTACACCTTTCTCACAAAAATGTACCTCTGTTAAGCCCCAATAAGAAACTCCCAACCATACCATGAGCGAGGATGGAAAATGACCTCGTTGGACACGCGGAATACGGTTGCTCGCTTCTTCACTACTGTGTGCGTACACCTTATCATTTTGTTTGTTGTAGCTCTCTTCTACGGTAAAAATTTTTTCATCCGAAAAAAGAATTTCCCGATATTTTTTTCCCGCGTACCGCTTCAACAAAGCGCGGCATCTCTTCAGTCTCATGTCCATTAGACGAGCATTCAAACGATGTTCTGTTTTTCTTCAATATGCCCGAAGCCCTAACTTCTTCTAGTCTTCATTTAACACCCTTTTCACCGTGGTTCTGCTTAATCCCAACTGAAGGGCCAACAGTTTCTGCTTACGTTTGGGATTTCTTTGAATTCGCGCCTTCACAGCTTTTATCACTGCTGGAGTCCTAACAGACCGCGGGCGACCACTTCTTGACCTGTCATCTACACTAGAGTCTTCATTGTATCGTTTGATGGTACGATAAATGAATCTTTTGGTTATATTCAAATTTTTTCAGTATGTCAAATATTTGAATTGGTGCGTAACCGCAACGATGCAACGCAATAACTGCAACACGGTCTTCTTTAAGCGTCCACTCCATATTTAAAAATGAGTAAAATCATAGATAAATATATATGTGGCTAGAGTAAAATTCTAAAAAGTATACAG